CAAGGTTTCAGGAAACCCTGCGAGCTAAAGATCTCAGCAGTAGCTGACTATCCCCGGCCAATAACAAAGACCGACGTCAGGGCGTTTCTAGGACTCACAGGCTACTACAATCATTACATCCGAGATTATTCCACGTTGGCAAGTCCTTTGACCGATGCTCTCCGCGGGACAGAGCCTACGAAGGTGGCCTGGGATGAAAAGAAAGAAACCGCCTTCTTAAAACTGAAGGCAGCATTGATCAGCCGTCCAGTCTTGAAAGCTCCTGATTACGACCGCGAATTCACGGTCCAATGTGATGCTAGCGATCGAGGTCTAGGAGCCGTTCTATGTCAGAAGGATGACGATGGTAAAGAACATCCCGTGCTCTATTTGAGCAGGAAATTGAGTTCTCGTGAGATGGCGTACTGCGCTTCAGAAAAGGAGTGCGCTTGCATTGTGTGGGCCATTCATAAGTTGCAGTGTTACCTCGGAGGTGCTAAATTTACAATAGAAACAGACCACTGTCCCCTTACCTGGCTGAAAACTGCGACATCGAAGAACAGTCGCCTTTTGAGGTGGAGCTTGATTCTTCAGCAATATCATTTTGATATTAAGTATAAAAAAGGCAAATTGAATGGAAACGCGGACGCGCTCAGCCGCTCTTTCTAAACCATTCTGGAGTGCTCTTGGTGTAACAAAATTGATATTTTAGTTTTTTCGTGCATCGTATGCAAATTTTTAAGGTAGCACGTTTGATTTCTCAGCACAAGTGAATCCTGAGAGTTCTGAGTGTGAGCTTTTGCTAAAGCTAGTAATTAAAATTGGTTTGCTATCCCTCTTTTGGCTTGGTTTGTTCGAAGGGGGCTGAGTGCTTACTTGTACATGTGGTCGAGTATCAGAGATGCTGTCGAAGATTCGGCGATCACCCGGACCATGCCACAAGCGAAGGCCAGTTCTTGGCATTCAAATACTGACCCTTTCGTCGTCCCTGCGAGCAGCAGTGTTGACCGCTGCCCTCCGTGACTCATCTGGCGAGGGGGAAGCTGTTACGACCGCCATCGGTAGGCGCCATGCTGTCGCTGAGAAGCGTAGCCGGGCCGCGTTCCCACGCCTGGAACCCAGGTTTTCTTGGAACCAGCGTCGAGATCTGAGGGGGGAGCGGCGCTCTTTTGACCCTCAAACAAGTAGCCGACTCGCCGAATGCTTATGCCCGCCAGGTATTGTCACTGTTAGCCGGCGGATGAGACGTCACGTCGCCACGAAGCGGTAAGCCGTTCCAGAGGGGACAACAAAGACAGCGTCTTCCTTTGTAGAAACGGCGACCGCCGCCACAGAATGCCCTGCTAATTGAGCAGAGAGGTTGGCGGACCGTTTGATCTCTGCTGTCCGAAGCTTGGGATCCCTCGACCAGTGACACACACGACGAGCAAGAGCCCCTCTGGCGCCACCTTTAAGTGCAGTGATCTTGACTCGAAATTGGCTGTTCACGTGCGCCGTGCCTGCTCGTACCCCTCACCTGTTGTGTGTATGTGATTGGTGTTCGACTGAAGAAGGAGGAGCCCGACAGGGCTTATAACGGCGCCGCAGAGTGCAGGACGTCGCTCTGAACCAAGAAAAGGTTTAACCACCACGCTCGTGGTTTGTGAACTCTTAACCTCATGCTGTAAATATTTGTAAATAGTGCCATAAACCTTGTTTGTTTTTCGTATTCCCATCTTGTAAGCGGTCGTTTCCTCAACCCGAAGCTACACCACGCTACCACAGCACCCCGGGATCACCACAACTGCTGATCAGCGGTGGGATACGACTCAGCACCCCGAGTTACAACAACTGGTGATCAGCGGTGGGATCGCGACAACTGGTGGCAGCGGTGGGATTTGAATCAGAACCCCGAGCCACAACAGCGTCCCTTCGTTTGTAACATGTAGATGGCGTCATCGCTGTTATCAGCATTTGACCTTTTAAGTTAGTATGAGATGAATTCACCCATAGAAAGAAGTAGGGGAACAGAACGAGTGCCAAGATGCCCAGAAGCACTAACGGGCGTGAAAAGGACGTGAAGCCACTGCCACAGAATGCGCAGCTACTGAGTTCTATCTTCACAGCAAAGGCTGTGAACTTCAGCGCGAAATCGTGTTATGCCGTTCTCCACCAAAACCTCACTGACGTATTTAGGCGGCGGATACGACGTTGGTGCAACACACTAATTGATAAAGAAAAAAACTTAGCCGATACCCATATATAGGAATCGGTACATCACGAAAGTGAAACTTATCTTCACAGAGGCAATTGGGTGTTTATTGGGCATTGTTTCAGCAACAACAACGAATTTCAAAGTCGCGTCAAAAACGGCAAGCGTTTCAACACTTGCAGCACACATCGCAAGCAGCAAGCACGCACGAATTTATCATACACAGGAAAAGCTCGGACTAACTACTGTCTCAGCTCGACCCTTAAAGCGCTGTTCAAACAGAAAGACGGATGCACGAAACGAGTCGCATGAGTACACAGGTCAAGCGCGAACTGTCACAATTTTCCATGGTCGTGTGTCAGCAGCGCGCTCCTTTCCCTTAACGCGGCCGTGGCAGCGAGCGATGTGAACTTCGACTTCTCCTGAATAACAAGTCTGATAAGAGCGCGCGCAAGAGAGACCACGCTCTGTGGAGGCGGCGCTCCGTGGTGCCCAACGTGATCCCATCGCACAATTTCGCTGCTGATAACGAAAACGCGCGAATGTTTCCGAGCTCAGAGGACCACCACTCGGTGCATGGTGGGTATAAATGGCTTGCCAAATAGCATATCCCGACAATGTACGTGTCGTGGCGTAGCGGTTAGCGGCCGCACGCTTCAAATCGAGATGTTGCTGGTTTGACTCCGCGCCTTACCGCTTTTGTGCCCTCGCAATCAGAAAGTATATATTTTACAATGTCCTATCATCGTATTCGCAACAGAAATACGTCATCGGAGCCATGGTGGACCCTGGGATAGAACTCCTTTGCGTTAAAAACAAAAACAAAAGTTTCGTCGCCTGGAATCAAACCCGCGACCAGTCAGTCCGATGCTGGAGATGCCGGGCCTTCTACCAACCACGCTACACCAACACACATGGACTAGGTTCCACAAACGCGGTTTCTTAATCATTTTTTCTCGAACGGTGATCTTGGCTGACCGGGGTGGTGCCGCTGTCTAAGAATGAAGTACTGCGCCATGACAATAACGGCTGCTTCGCATGACGCGATTGCAGCGAAAAAAAAAATCGTTCCGTTCACTCGAATCACTCTGTTCACAACGAACGCTAATAGCAGTTTCGTTTAACATGGACCGCGAACGGTCAGCGATTTTCGCTTTGCGACTGGAGCGGCGAGCTCTTGCCACCATTATTTTCGACAGGCACCAATGTTATGTAATAATATGTACATTATGATATCATGAAGTTTCTGTGAACGGTAACAAAGGGCCCTCTTGTTTTGTCATCTAAGAACAGTTTCCAGTCTAAATTCATTTTAATATGCACAGCATAGGCCATTAATAAAACAAACACGTCGACTCTATTTCGACGGTTTGGCCGGATCAGCCTAACATCGACATGTCCCGACCAAAAATCGCTCCCAGCCGCTGCGATCGGAGCGAAAATTTCCAACATGAGGGAAACTTGCCGTGGACCGCTGCGGCGGAAGCGAACTGCCCTTTTTTTGTCACTGCGAGCGAATTCGCGGCTTTAAAGTTGTTACTTTTCGTGTCATGTGAAACGGCCTTACCGAGCGCCGGTAAGGAGAGATTGGTATCGATCGACGCACTTAGGGCACATTGATGTCATTGCGAAGGCCTGCTGGCCGCGTTGACATCGAAGAACCGCCCTAGACGAAATTGTTTGCCTTTCGCTTCGCGTTAGCGTGTGACAGCTCGTGTCGGAGTATTGCAGCTTCGTATTCGAAGCAGAAGGTGGCTTAAGTCGCGCACTCATTCGAGGGCGATGACGTCATGGTATAGAACTGCTGCAACAAGCGCCACGGAAAGACAATGATATCGACGGGAAATACCGTTCCCTGCTGGTGGTTAGAGACGTTAAACCCCACGTGTCAATCAAGCAATCAATCAAGCAATCAATCAAATACCGTTCCCTGGTGAAGCGAGGCCAGCGAGAAGAGGAACGGCTTACGCTGCGCACGTCTGGTGACCTTGTCGCTGAATCAATGTGGTAGCGTATACATGATTACATGCGCTAGGTTTCCTTATTACTCGGAAGCGCCCCCCATCACAATACCTCTCTCAATTAACGACGCTTTGAAGGAGTGCATAATGCCACATTCCATTTCTCAAGTTTTGTTGTCACCCCAAAACACTACACAATTCTCAGCGCAAAACGCGCGTGCAGTTTTCGAGAAGCTTCCAAACTTTAGTAGATCATTTCGATAACATCACGCCTATACTCTGCGAACTGTACAGATTATTCGGGAACCTACGCCACCGCCAGCGATAACGCTAGAACATTCGATGGCAAGAGTATAAATGGCGACGCACTTCGCCGCTTGTCAGTAGTTGATCGACGGCTGACGATCCGTTCGCCGCTGTCAGTGCAGGTCTGCTTCTGTGATCCGGCTTTCTGTATGCCGGGCACAGGTTCGCCCCAATATGCTGTTAAATCCCCACACAAAGTATTCTGTCTTCGGCCACGTCACGACCACGTGTCATTATCGAGTAAATGCGTTTATTGTGTGCTTGCTGATGTCATTTTGGAGTAGCATTCCCGATTTGCTGGGTCCATGGGCACATTAACAACGTGACCTGCCACACTAGTTAAACTATCATCATGGGCGTTAACGTAAGTGCAAACGACGTTATACCACTGTTGACATTGTATAAGCTCTCATGTATCACTGCGCAATAAACAGTCGACTACTTCTTTAAAGACAACCTCCCCTTTGCTCTACCGATTCTTATGACTGAGCGATTAGTCATGCTTTTTTCTTTTAAACTCGCCCTGACAACCAAGCAATTTAGATTAGAGTTGATGGACTTACCTGCCGCCGATACTCTTCGCACGTAATTAAACCATGACTGGCATTGCAGACTAGGCACGTGGTCTTTCGGCACTTGTAGCAGTAAAGTTCCGTGTCACCGGCGTCCACCTGCTTTTCGAAACCACAGTCTTCGGTGCGACAGATGGCCGTGCGCATCTGGCGTGATGTGCCTCGATCTCCTGACCGGGTCACCCGATCAGCCACCACCGACTGCTGAAGGAGGAAATCCACGCAGAAAAATTGAGAAATGGGAAAATAAGAACACTCGGGATAAACATGTTCAAGGAGTGTTGCCTTAAAGGCCAACTCCGGCGATTTTCCCACCATGTCAAGGTAATGGTGTTTTTATGTTCCTGAGACGCTCTTGTCAAGAGCCCAATAGCTCAAATGATCAAGAAACTTCAAAATAATTTTTAATAAGCAAAAAGTGCAATACCAAAACAGAAACCAAACCGGGCACCCTGCCTGCTTATGACGTACTATTTGGTAAGAACCGGAGTCCCATTGGCACGGAGTATGAAAACTGTGAAAGCCAGACTATAGCGAAGCGCTGGTCAAAGAGCACAGAGGAAGAAAAAGCTTTCCTGTGCTATACTCGGGCCAAAACACCACCGCCGTCGCCTTGTGGCCACGCAATAAATGCTTTAATGGCCAAAATAGCGATGCCATCGGTGGCGTCACTTCCGTTGACAGGCCAAACATGGCGTCACACAGCCAGTGTTGCCAATAATTCTGGCAAGCGAGGTGAGATTTTCGAGGCATTCTTTAAAATTCATCTGCAAACAATCAGTGCATCTCTCAAAACTGTCATTTGACATAAATCACGGAAATGTGTGAAGAAACGTATCCGGAGAATTTCATTGAGATCAATTGACCTCAAAAAATTGCCGGAGTTGGCCTTCAGTGGAAGACATTTATTAGATTTGGGTGCCTTTAAATGGCGGCGTTAATTCTGCAGACACTTCAAGCGTTTATATCTACATCTATGTCTGTCTACACCTATGTCTGTCTGTCTACGCCCATGTCTGTCTACGCCCATGTCTGTCTGTCTACGCCCATGTCTGTCTACGCCCATGTCTGTCTGTCTACGCCCATGTCTGTCTACGCCCATGTCTGTCTGTCTACGCCCATGTCTGTCTACGCCTGTCTGTCTACGCCTGTCTGTCTACGCCTGTCTGTCTACGCCTGTCTGTCTACGCCTGTCTGTCTACGCCTGTCTGTCTACGCTGTCTGTCTGTCTACGCCTGTCTGTCTGTCTACGCCTGTCTGTCTGTCTACGCCTGTCTGTCTGTCTACGCCTGTCTGTCTGTCTACGCCTGTCTGTCTGTCTACGCCTGTCTGTCTGTCTACGCCTGTCTGTCTGTCTACGCCTGTCTGTCTGTGCCTGTCTGTATGTCTGCCTACGCCTGTCTACGCCTGTCTGTCTGTCTGTCTGTCTGTCTGTCTGTCTGTCTGTCTGTCTGTCTGTCTGTCTGTCTGTCTGTCTGTCTGTCTGTCTGTCTGTCTGTCTGTCTGTCTACGCCTGGGTTTACTAGTGATTGCACCCACCTTGCTCGGTGATGTGGACTGTGCCGCGACGTTTGGGGAGCGCGATGAACCCGCCGAGCTCGTACTCGCCGAGTCATCTGCCCAGGAGAGTCTGCAAGGTGTTAGCAGTGTCATCGCATCGAAGTACGTGGCAAGGGTTGTTTGTGGCGAAACCCTCGATGGCGACATGTCACCTTCACTGGACCCTCCGCCTTTCGAGGGTGACGGGGTGTCGCCGCTCTTTCGTCGGGCACCCAACGGGGAAGGCGTGGGACTCCGTGCTGCTGGTCTTCGTTCAGCTTGAAACGCCGCGCAGCTCTTGCCCTCGTGCATTGCCTTGCAGTGAAGGCAGGAGAGGATGACCGCACTCCGAGCACCTGACGAACTTGTGACGGAGCCCGGGCTCAGCAGGCAAGGGCTTTCCCGCACGTGGTCCAATAGCAGATCATTTTCTCTGCCTCCATAGCTTGTTCTTGCGTGGCTGCAGGATGGTATGGATACTTAAGCATCGTTTAGATGACACCCAGCTGTACACAGCCACACTTTGTATTCTAGCTCGTCTTCCCTCTTGAGAAATCTTGATCTTCCTGCCAGAATAACGCGGTTGAAGCAGACTGACAGTAAAACAAGCGAGTGCTATAAAACTAGGACATAGACGAGAGGCACACAGGACAAGCTGTGCTGTGTGCCTGTCCTCTGCGTTGCCGTTTCATAGCGATCATTAGCTTCGCATCAAGGATGTACCAACACACGTCTTGGTAAGTCAAACTGACAGGTCTTATTTTGACCCCTCGATTGCACGGCTACCCAAGAGACGTCCATCCACCATAAACACAATGCCTATATATGGGTGGTTGCGCTGGCACCCTTTCCACAGCGCCTCCTGGGGACCGTCTACGATTTCTCCTTCTTGCAGTTCTTCCTTTCAATTTCATTTCTGAAGTTGTAGTCTTTGTTTACAACAAACATTTAAGGAAACGGATACCAATGAGTCGAATCACTTTCCTTTCGATATCCCTGCACGTGTGGCCCAAGCCGCCCTGCTGAGTTAACGCACAGCAATAGGTTAAGTGGGAATCGTTGACGGAATGAAAACTATAATATTAAGTTATTATTATTATTATTATTATTATTATTATTATTATTATTATTATTATTATTATTATTATTATTATTATTATTATTATTATTATTATTATTATCTGGTTTTTACGTCCCAACATCACCATATGAATACGAGAGACGGCGTAGTTGAGGGACGTGTTAATTTCGACAATCTGGTGTTTGTTAACGTGCGCTGACATCAGACACCACGTGAATCTTTACCAATTTGCCTCCATCTGAATGTGACAGCCAAGGTCGTGCCCTCCACCTTTGGGCTATTAACCACTGTTCCTCCGAGATTGAACATGATAGCAATTAAAGTGCCGCTGTGAAGTTCGGGCGCGGGTAGTCCTCCACTTGTTCTGAATACACGAAGCAGCATACATCTCTACCACGGTAAAGTACAATAACTCCCTGGACCGATTCCACATCTTTGTTAAAGCACACGGATGCCCTGCAGCTGTCGCGTAACAGAGTATAAATCCAGCTATAATATGCATTCTAAATAGAGGGCGTGACGCTCGTTTGTTGCCTCCTTTATCTTACTACACAGAGGCAGCTTAACAGTCTCCCGCAGCATAATACCAAGTTCTCTAATCTGCACCCCCCCCCCCTACTTTTTCAAATAAACAGTGAGATCGACAGCTGTGTTTTTTTTTTCTAACAATCAAGGTGACATATTTTACAGCTCTCCTACAGTGCACAGTACGCTACCACAGCGCCGTCTGGTGTATAGCGTTATGCGCCACCACACATCTCTCATTTCGGAGATAGTTTCACGAGATGCGACTTGCAAAGCAAGACCTATATATTGCATAGCTTTAGAATCGTCATGTCACCTCATATACGTATTCATGTCACCTTTCACGCTTCATCTACGCCCTTCCTTCTTTTCCACTGCGTCATCGGCGTGCAGCTGTCATCCTGAAAAAAATGTAGGTCTCCTCGATTTGGTTGCACTTTAGGCGCTACAGTTCCAGATTGCTGGACTTCGCCACTCGATCCGACGCTGTGCTGCCCTAATTCATCGGCACTGTCACGCTAGGTTCCCTGCGAGTTCTCGTATGATGCAAGTAGCCCGAGGTATACTGCAGGGAGGCGCTTCTGCCCTCGATTTGACCGCTGCGCCGAAAACCGCTGGTGTCATGCTGCGCTAACACTAGAGGAACTGGTGCTGCACAGACACGACACTTTCGTGAACTGGGTCCAGAAAGTGCTGCTCATCATGGAACGCGAAACTCCACGGTACTTACGCGTGCACGCAATTGCGACACACATCGGTGTCTTTGCCATATACCGAATCCGCGCTCACTTGAACTCTGCGACTCACGTCAAATAGAGCAGCGTTATTGCGGGACCCGGATAGTGTATGGCAAAGAGGCCGATGAGCGTCCCTTGCGCTTGCCTGCAGATGCTGTGGAGTTCATTTCTCTATAAGCAAAACGTCGAGTGCAGGTCTGTGTTTAGGCAAATTTATTTTGAGAGATATCAGTAACATTTGAGCAGAACATCATCTTGTTAGACATACGTTAACGATGAAGGCAGACTTCAAGTACGTTAACATGAATGCGAGCTGACGCAAAAGGATAAGTACAATCGATGTTTCAAACAGAGACGCTCAAAAATGTGTCACAAGAAGACAAGCACAAATATGCATATTGCATGGTAAACAAAATGCACAAATGAAACATGAATATATACATTCTGTGTATTTACGTATTTACGTGCCATTAATGCCGACGCCAACTGTTCCATGAGCCTACATATACTGTAGGCCGGCCGAAAGACAAGTTTCCCTTGTCTGTCACAAACCAACAGAAAACGGGAAGACCAGTACCGAATGAATTCTTGTACTCAGCCCGATGTCACCTAGTTAGCACTTGTGGCTGCTGATGGTGCCCCGCATTGTCGTTGTAAAAGCGACCGGTCGAAGCCGTTTTAGTTCTTAGAGTTTACTCAGAAAGGTTTTACTCGGTGAGACTTGTTGGGGATAAATTTCGACAGCTAACGCCACGAAAAAACGCGAAAGAACAAAATATCACACATGCAGTCTTTCATGCATTTACCCAAGACTCGAAGGCGAGAGCCACCTTCTCCCTTTCGTCAGTTTTTTTTCCCCTCTGTCGACTGTACTGACGTGCCCAGTCCCAGCAGCCGTCTTCGTATTGTAGCGCCTCTGTGTATGAGACACGACTTTGACAAGGAGACGATCCCATGTGACGATGTCCTGTTACGTGACGTCACATTTTTGGGGATCTGTGTCATCATTATGATGATTTATCATTCCTTTCTTTTGACCCCGATGTCACCAACACCTTTGCGAGTTTGATGAGCCACCTAATCATTTGGTTTAAAAAAAATACACATAAAACAAGAGTTCGTCCCACGTGAGCTATTTCCGTCACTGCGTTGTTTCTGGCGCTGCAAAGTGACGGAAGCTATTTCCGTCACCCTTCACTGCAAAGTACGAATCCTCAACTTCATTATTTAAAGAAAAAAAAGATAAATGTAATGGTTAGCTCACTAATTATTACGGCTAGGTGGCGTTAGCCGCCGCCCGATCTAAAGGGTACAGCCACATCCATCCATCCATCCATCCAGAATATTCCGAGTCGAAACTACCATATGGTTCCGAGGCAAGCCCTGGTGGAGAACTACGGATTAATTAGACCTCTTGAGATTCGTTAACTGGCCACATTTCTCACAGAAAAGATCGAGTAAAAAGGGGCATCTTTTGGTCCCACAACAAGAATCGTCATCTATCTTGCATTGCTTTCCTTGCACTGTCACCGCGAGCCCGGTGCTTTCAAGTCACGAACGAAATTCACGCATTCGCTTCATCAGCGTGACAGAGCTTCTTTGATTAGAAAGTGACCAGCGCCGAAAAAGCGCAAGCAAGCCGTATGGTCATTATTCTTGTGGTACAAAAAGATAGCCTTTATACTCGATTTTTTAGAGTACATCTGACAAGGGTGTTCTAGAATTTTTCCCCACGAAATGGCGACCTCGATGGGTGCAAATGATACGGGCGTCCTCGGTGCAAGTTCTTTGGCAACTAATCTGCCGCAGCAGATATAAACTGCAGCTGAAGTGCGCAGCAACCCGGTTTGTCGCTACGTTGAATCGCTATAGCTTCAACAGTCATCGATTCTGAGATGAGTGCGACGAGGAAATCGCTTTGGTTGCCTATGTTGGACTACTGTCTAGAACGTAATACTCAAAACTGCCCGAATTACAAAACAAGCCAAAAGCGTCCAAGTGATGCGTATGCTGTCGAAAACTTCAACGCTTTGTTGTAGCAGACCCTACGCGAAGCATTTCATTTTTCGCGCCCGTGTACAGCGCCTTGAGCGGTACTCAACAGGTGTCACCACTGCTTGGAGACAGCACATTGGACTGACCATTCTCATAAACCCTTTAGTTTCAAACAGACAGCCACGTTAGAGTGTACTAGAAGTGTCAGCCACGTCTCGTCATCATCGACAGCTGTTACAGTAACAGCGAAAAAAAAAGTAATACGAAATACGGAAAGAAAAACAAGAACGATAAACACACAAACACGTAGGTTTACAAATGCAACTAAAGTAATGTCAGGGTGACATTACAGGCAATGCTGCAGTACTTAATGCCCAAGCTCTTACTGACTGAGAAAAAAAACACCCTACCGCGAAGAATAGCCGCCACAGAATGAGGCAGGTGTTTGTTACAGGTGTAGTCCACTATCTCCTCAAAACATTGCAATTGAAGGCTAGAATGTTCGGTGAAGAAGGGCAGCAAAAAGCGCCAAATCTTTCGGAAGCTCTGGGTTTCAATGCGGATGGAAGTGTCGAGTGATCAGAGGCTCTGGTAAGGAAGAGACGCTCAAAGTGTTCCGGGACAAAAGAAAAATGAAATGCCAAGAAAATATTTATAAAGCCTCATATTCTCTAGATACATTGAGAAATGTGCACAGTAGAATATGAGGCTCGTTTAAAAAAATTAGGTACACTGTCATAATTCTTAAGCTATAACAGGTATATGATTGGGAGTCGTGAATTCGAGAACCTAACCAAACTTTATTGCAGTTAACTTCGAATAATGAGGTAACCTTCTTAAAGAGAGTTGATTGATTCCCGTTCATTTCTCTAAAAACAAATATTCATATCTTAAGAGGGAACATTACCACAACTTTTATTAGACGGAGATCGCCGCAGATATGTGTAGCGAGTAAAGTTCGCATATCAAAGCGCCAAATTCTTTCGGAAGCTCTGGGTTTCAATGCGGATGGAATTGTCGAGTGATCAGAGGGCTCTGATAAGGAAGAGAACGCTCAAAGTGTTCCGGGCAAAAAGAAAGATGACATGCCAGGAAATTTGATAAGCCTCCATATTCTCTAGATACATTGAGAAATGTGCACAGTAGAATATGAGGCTCGTTTAAAAAATTAGATACACTGTCATAATTCTTAAGCTATAACAGTATATGATTGGGATGTCGTGAATTCCAGAACCTAACCAAACTTTATTGCAGTTAACTTCGAATAATGAGGTAACCTTCTTAAAGAGAGTTGATTGATTCCCGTCATTTTCTCTAAAAACAAATATTCAATATCTTTAAGAAGGGAACATTACCACAACTTTTATTAGACGGAGATCGCCGCAGATATGTGTAGCGAGTAAAGTTCGCATATAAAAGGCGCCAAATCTTTCGGAAGCTCTGGGTTTCAATGCGGATGGAAGTGTCGAGTGATCAGAGGCTCTGATAAGGAAGAGACGCTCAAAGTGTTCCGGGACAAAAGAAAGATGAAATGCCAGGAAAATATTGATAAAGCCTCATATTCTCTAGATACATTGAGAAATGTGCACAGTAGAATATGAGGCTCGTTTAAAAAAATTAGATACACTGTCATAATTCTTAAGCTATAACAGGTATATGATTGGGAGTCGTGAATTCCAGAACCTAACCAAACTTTATTGCGAGTATAAACGGTGTCGGCTCCAAAATGAATGCAGGCGTGAAAACTGTGAATAGCGAGCACGTTATTCTCGAGTGTCCAGTGTTGCAATGCCGCACGGTCCCATCGAGCAGACGACAACTGACCATGCTGACGACTGGGCTGGCCTAGGTTATCGTGAATAGAGCAGCATTGGAACTAGAACGCTGTGGGAAAACGAATGGGCGACTGAAGTTGTGGTGGGCTAACAAAAAAAAAAGCAGTACCTTAATGCGGTCACCATGCGCAGTCAAGGTGCTTTTAAATCTGGATGTCTACGACACTGTTTACCCATTTTAAAGTGACGCAACTATCATCATCATCATTATGGGCCTGCAGTAAGTCAAGTCGAGTCATTGGTCGAGTCAACATTCCAATACAACACTTCTCGCCATAGACCATAGAGGAAGCTTCTCGCAGAAGCCCTCAAAGAATCGTAAGCATGCCAGGTGAGTGTCTTCTGTTAAATTTTCATATTGAAGTTGTAAGCCGCAAAGGTAAATAAATAAAAAAAGAGAGGACAGTTGATTTTCAGCCTCGCGCTGTATATCTTTACTGCTTATTCATGTATGTATGTACAAACCAACTGACTAGCCTAACAACGTGTTCTGGTGGTGGGTGTTCTTTGGTCTAGCCACCATTCTACTGTGCTCTGTGCTGTTCAAGATGGCTGAGAGCGCGGATCGCAAATTTCGGCGTGAAATTAATCGGCGCGTCAATGCTAGTTTTCAGCTTATTGACAGTGAGGCCGATGTCATAAATGACACGCGGTACGTTGACCGAGATTCCCGCAACGCCGAAAGAGAGAGCGACTTGCCCTCCGAGGCTTGTGCGGTCGACCTCGAAGACGGCCATCGTCGCCTTTGTGTTCATGACAGAGAACGGCCTTCGGCACACTCCTCGATCGTTCCAGAAACGGATGTGCCCCAAGGACACGTTTTGATTTCTGGCGACGCGTGCTACCCCAGCGGCTGCAGTGTTTCTGTGCCTCACGATCACACAGACTTCGAACGGCGTGCCTTCCATGACAGCAGCGCTGCGGCTTCGACTTCGGCGACCTCGCAGGTGAGGCAGAGGGATTCTTTCGAATTGGCACCGACTGGGAGTAACGAAGAGCAAGTTTGTGAACGCGGCAGTGTGGACAGCTTGCTGGCCTTTCGTGAGAGACTGCAAGCGTGGGCCTTACAATCTCGCGCATCGCACACTTCAGTTACATCGCTCTTGAGAGTACTACAGTCCCACGAATGCTTCAGCGCGCTCCCTTCAACTGCAAGGGCATTGTTACAGACGCCCAAGAAGTGCCTGGAAGTGTTGCAGCTGGCCGGCGGGAAATACCATCATTTCGGCCTCAGTGCAGGCCTACAGCGAGTGCTGCAAGATTGTGCAGAACTACCAAGAATTTTGAAGCTTAGCTTCAACATTGACGGTCTGCCGGTTTCAAAAAGTTCACGGGGCCAATTTTGGTGCATACTGGGACGCATAAGTAATTTGGAGGACAAAGCACCATTTATAGTGGGTGTTTTTTTCGGAAGCAGCAAGCCCAACAACGCGAATGATTTTTTGCGGACCATTTGTTTGTGACATAAATGCTGCTATCACAACAGGGATTACATTGGAGAAACTGCAATTCCTGTTAGCTTGTATGCCCTCATATGTGATGCACCAGCAAAGGCATTTGTATTATATGTCAGAAGCCACACAGGCTATTACAGCTGCACCAAATGTGACGTAAAAGGTGTCTACTGTGAGGGCAGGGTGTGCTTCCCAAACGTCAATGCTCGCAAGCGAACAGATGACAGCTTTCGCTTAAAAGTCCAGGAGGAGCATCACACAGGCGAAAGTATTCTTGAGGAACTTCCTTTTGACCTAGTGAAAAGATATACCATTAGATTACATGCACCTTGTGTGCTTGGGTGTCATGAACAAGCTCTTGACACTGTGGGTACGTGGCCCAAAAGTGACCAGACTTGGAAGCAAAGTGCGTCTTGAGATGTCGGAAAAAAAATTCTCAAATTGCACGGTGTGTTCCATGTGATTTTAGCCGAAAGCCGAGGAGCATTGCTGAACTTGATCGGTGGAAAGCGACTGAGTTTCGCTTTTTTCTTTTATATGGAGGACCCGTTGTTTTGTCATCACTGATTCCTGCACACATGTACAAGAACTTCTTAGCTTTACATGTGGGGATCTCTGTTCTTTCCACACCAGCTGCACCTGCAAGTGTCGAGTGATCAGAGGCTCTGATAAGGAAGAGACGCTCAAAGTGTTCCGGGACAAAAGAAAGATGAAATGCCAGGAAAATATTGATAAAGCCTCATATTCTCTAGATACATTGAGAAATGTGCACAGTAGAATATGAGGCTCGTTTAAAAAAATTAGATACACTGTCATAATTCTTAAGCTATAACAGGTATATGATTGGGAGTCGTGAATTCCAGAACCTAACCAAACTTTATTGCAGTTAACTTCGAATAATGAGGTAACCTTCTTAAAGAGAGTTGATTGATTCCCGTTCATTTTCTCTAAAAACAAATATTCAATATCTTTAAGAAGGGAACATTACCACAACTTTTATTAGACGGAGATCGCCGCAGATATGTGTAGCGAGTAAAGTTCGCATATAAAAGGCGCCAAATCTTTCGGAAGCTCTGGGTTTCAATGCGGATGGAAGTGTCGAGTGATCAGAGGCTCTGATAAGGAAGAGACGCTCAAAGTGTTCCGGGACAAAAGAAAGATGAAATGCCAGGAAAATATTGATAAAGCCTCATATTCTCTAGATACATTGAGAAATGTGCACAGTAGAATAAGAGGCTCGTTTAAAAAAATTAGGTACACTGTCATAATTCTTAAGCTATAACAGGTATATAAGTGGGAGTTGTGAATTCCAGAACCGAACCAAACTTTATTGCAGTTAACTTCGAATAATGAGGTAACCTTCTTAAAGAGAGTTGATGGATTCCCGTTCATTTTCACTCAAAACAAATATTCAATAACTTTAAGAAGGGAACATTTCCATTACTTTTATTCGACGGAGATCACCGCAGATATGTGTAGCGGGTAAAGTTATTAAAGTAAGTTATTAGTAAAGTTATAGCAAGGATGATAACGATGATGATACCAGTGACGAGATATCAAAAACTTTGGACTGTACGTAAAATACAATACCTATAGCATCATTCAAAGTGGTACTATGTCACTAATTTTTCTATAAAAGAAATAAACTTAATTAATGTTGAAAACACCGCACATTCTGCTCAATACGTATACGAACAGATAAAGCAGTTATCGCAGCGTGAGCGCAAGCACTAAAAGCATGCGAACAGCCGTGTAGACAACGTTATCTGCAAGAGCAACTGACGCAAATACATTTGTGCCTGTTATTCATGTACAATTACCAAAATCGCGCTTCTAAATCTGGATACACCCGTAGTCCACAACCGCTCATGATAATGACCTGCCTCATGATAACGAACGTTGATTAGTGACAGTCTTGTTGGGACGACACCGGATATTCTGAAGCGAATACGCCTCCACGCGGTGATCAACATAGCGCCCACAGTCCCGTCGAAGCTTAGACTGCAGGTGTCTTGTTAATTCCTCAGTTAAAACAAGGAAAATTACCCTTTGCAATCCTAAAGTTTCATTTTAATGTCTTATCTATCAGCATAGGCGTGCTCAAGGTTCCCCTTCAAGGGGGCCACGGCTTAAGCTGTCGCAGTGCCCCACTTCCCTATTAAGTCAATGTATAGGGCAGCCTTACAGGGGGGAGAGGGACCAACACCCTGATGCCCTCGTGCCCATGCCAAAGTCCATCGGTGTCGATTATTCAAAAACATCCTAAAGGTAGTCCGTACTTCGATAAGCAGTATTTGATCTCAGTACTAAATATGACGTGTTTTGGTTCGGTATTAGAATTTTCGGAATAATCGCATGGCCCTACCTGAATTAGTAATGCTCATCATCTTCGGGTACAAGTGCAGTGTGACAAAGACAAAGGACGCCCAAATCACCGCATTTTTTTGGTAAACGTCTAGCTACAACAAACAAGCCAGGTTGTTATTTGTCGATTGTTTTCATAAAAAGTGAACGTGACTAACGATCATTATTTCTTAACGTATGCCCGAAATAATGGTTCAGCTTCCAGAGAGAGAGCAGGATACATTCGCAAATACCGCGGTATACTGTTTGAAAGCAGGTTTAATCATGCTCACAACTCGGTCATTTTTTCACGCAACCGGGGAGCTTTTTTTCTTGACTAGGAATCAGCGGCTCACGTGCTATTCCTGGAATGTAGACGAAAGGTTTCGTTCAACGACTCTGGCTTCGCATCGCTGAAGTGTTTGCCAACCCTATGACAACGAGAAATGCGAAGCGACTGCTACCCGACAATGTTTCGACAGTGCTTGAAAATTCCGGCCGAAACGAAAAGGCGCTGAAGATAACCAGCCAGTGCGATACGGATATAAATAACGCACGCTTCCTTCGAACAGCATGAAATATACGTTCGGTTGATAAAGGTCTCGATTGTGATACGAAAGTCGCCGCGACGCCATATTGTGCAGTTGCACGTATTCATAGTTTCGGAAGTGGTTAATGTTTTAAATAAACCACCACGCAACACCACCGTCCTGATGTGTCAGTGATAACACGCAAGTTTCGAAGGTATTGAGACTCATAATAGCTCGTTGCCCTCGAATCAACAAGAAAAAGCCTTAGTGATTCCCATGGGTTTTGTCTTGCAGTATTGAGTCAATGTAGTGTCAGGCTCTAACGATCAATCGACGCGTACGAATTATGATTATTGAAACGTACTTTGCCCTCTATACCCAACACATGACTCTATTCGTCCGCATCAGAATAAATCAATTTGGACGACTGCCTCGCACATCGCCAATCAACGGACGACCCCGCAAAAGCGAGAGCTTCGATTTCCAGCCCGGGTTACTAACAGCCCAAGTCAATTGCGTTTCAAGTACCAAACATTTGCCTAGCACACAAAAGCTGACGCATGACTTTAAGGCGCAGACCATTTTTATATGCAGTACAGAATACAAAACCAACGACAGCTGACACAGTGTGAATATAAGCAAGCAGTTGACGCAGATAAGACATATCTCCAAACAGGGGAGACACTTAGTTTTTACTTCTGAGAGGAGGCTCAGATTCCTTCTTCGTATCGCCAAGAGACTACTTTAACGTGCGTTCTTACACGGTGCTTGTCTAGGGCAGCCTGATGAATGGCTGCTCTGCGGCTTGCTTTATTTGGGACATCACTATTCGCGCAAACCGCACCTGCTACCTCCAGTTCGATGTGCAAGGTTTTGCTCATATACTTACTACGTGCGATGTGACCCTGCGTTGTATCATCCACGGTGCCGGCCCATGCGTGCTTTTTTTTTTTTCGCGAAGGACGGTGGCCTATTCAACACGTTGCGCACCCTAAAGACGAGTGTGACTCACACGGTCGAAACGATAACCGCGGCAATGCAATCGAAAAACGAGCCAGAGCAGGTTCCGCACTCACCTTCAACAGCATGGGCGTCGTCAACGAGACTTTCATGTCCTAATACCGAGCACTTCGCCGGCGTTGCGAAGGCATCGATTCACCTGTGGCACTGAGCACAAGAACACGTCCATGCGAAGACGACGTCGATTCGAGACGTTGTTTCGAACCACTCGGTTTCTTCCTGTTCTGGCGGTTGTCACAAGGGGCGGCAGGGTTGGCGTCGCGCTCGACAGAGCTGTCGCTGGTTGATAAGCGGCGTGCGGAGAGCAAAACAAAAAAAAAAAGCTATGCAGCTCTAAAGTTAAACCTGATAAGAGGCGCAGCGTCATACAGGCGCTAGCTCGCCGAGTTCCGATGTGAATATCGAAGTCGACAATAGCCGACAGAAGCGAACAAGCCGGCCCGGCACCGCCAGAACTTCGAGGTGGCGCGCACGGCGGGATATTTGAAAGAAAAAAAAACAGAAAGGCAGCCAGTTCAATTCAATCCAATTTAAAAGATTGTTGTATTGTTTTCTTGAACAAGAAACAAAAGGAAATCAGGGTTTGGACCACATAGCCTGAAAAAGGAGCCAATTGCACCCTTGTACACAGTTTGTACAGCCCCCCCCCCAAAAAAAAAAATGTTTAGCGGCATCCAGACCATCATAAACAAAACAAGTAATATAAAAAATAGCTCATAAAATTTTTGCGGTACAGTGAATCTGGTTTTAACCATAAAAACTTGCACCTAACATACTTATATGCCAATCACTCAAGAAAAAATCACAATATTAGACACATGTGATAGGTAACACTTTTTATTCTTATTACAATACATGCAGTACCAACTTGTGGTTAACGTTATAAAAGAACCGAATCCCGGCAGCGGCGGCCGCATTTTCGACGGAGGCGAAATGCGGCCGCCACACTAAAAGAGAATATTAAGTAAACGTTAATTGCCGAAATAGCGGTACATGAACCCCGAATTGCTACTTTAGTTCCAATGAAGTGCTTACTTTGAAATAAAATCACTTTTTAGTGGTCCGGATCACGTTAGCGCACTTCAAATCCCCCGCCTCAAAGTGGTCTGTCTCACGCCACTGTTGCCGTGCACAACGTTTCCCGCCTTTACTGCGCGGCCGCCGACATTTGTTGTAGCAGAGAGAAAGTAGCAGCAAAAAAAGCCATCGAACCATATTAACTCTATGATTAAACCATTATCTGCCGTCTCGGAGAATATGGTTCTGCTGCTTGGTTACACTGAGCTCCTCTAGATGGCATCACACATCCAGCCTAACCAGGCGAAAACGGAATTTTCGAACCACTCGCGCCATTCTCCGTAGTAATTCCAGGTGGTTCGTTTTTTGTTTTTTTATGTCAGACATAAACGGACAAGTGGCATTTCATTGTGTTTCTTGATGCACGGAAGTTTCTACTTTTATTGCAGCTAGTTTGACTATTATTGATTAATTGCAGTCGGGCACTCTGACGTCATTGAGATAATTTCCAAAATATCCCACTCACGGGGCCCGTCGTGTAGTACATTTAGCTCAATTTCTCAGTGAGTAGGGCACTGCTTTTGATAATATTGCCGTTTTAGACGTCCCGCTCCCATGCGACACTGTTATGCCGCCTTTGGTTGGGTGTTGCATTTACAAAGGTGTACTTCTTTCGCATTGGTATGGCAGACACTCCTACATGCGACTACTGCGGAGCTGAAGAGACCATCGAACACGTCCTGTGCAGTTGCGCTTGCTACGACACACAGCGACGCCAGCTCCGGATGGTTTTGAATCAACTTGACCCCGGACCATTTTGTGTGCAGAAGATACTAGGACCTTGGGCATCTGCCTCAGTTGCGCAGAAAGCAACTAAAGCACTGCTACTTTACCTGAAGTTCTCAAACCTGAGCGACCGCCTGTAGACTGTGTGTGCTCCCCGAGTGTGCTCGTGATTGTGTGTACCTTCTCATCTTTCTGCAACCTCTTTTCTCCCCTTTATCCCTTCCCCAGTGCAGGGTAGCAAACCGGATGTGCGTCTGGTTAACCTCCCTGCCTTTCCTTGCATCTTTATCTCTCTCTCTCTTAGACGTCATGCACTGAGTATACATACGCTGACATGAATTGTTATTTGCAGTCAGTGTCCCATTAGCGTCAACTCCAGTTACGCCACGGGAACCATCGTATATTTCATAACGATATATCATGCAAACGCATAGAAGCTGATTTTCATACCAAAAAGAAAAGTTCATTTTTTTTTTTTGCCGTGATCTTACCTGCAGAACAAAACGTCGCATCTAAGGGCTTCGATAGTTTCGTCGCAATTGGACTCAACTGCACAAGCGTGGCACTCAACCATCAGGACATCTACTATTGGTGCCACAAAAGTCGCCTTGTGCCTCACCCTAAACTTGAGCCGCTCCCTCGCACTTTCGCTGAGACATTACTGTGGACAAGTGGAAACGATTGATGGCGGCACCCATAACAGAACTGCACCTTCTTTGCTACAGAACTTCACTGGGCTTTACTTGAAGTCAACGAACCTGAGCGACCGCCTGTAGACTGTGTGTGCTCGCCCGAGTTTGCTCGTGATTGTGTGTACCTTCTTATCTCGCTACAACCTCTTTTCTCCCCTTCATCCCTTCCCCAGTGCAGGGTAGCAAACTGGATGTGCGTCTGGTTAACCTCCCTGCCTTTCTTTGCATCTTTATCGTTCTCTCTCTCTCTCTTGCCGTGCTAGTTTCTTAAGATTCATAATTGACATGAACCAATGCAACAGGAGAGGTACTGAGTAGAAGGCTACACATACATACACAGCACTAAATTGCAGTTGAATTGCAGGTGTTTTCTTTAAAGACGTAACTAACCACGCCTCAAGTTTGGCGAGAAAACATATCCTGCGGATAGTGAACACTGCTATGAACATCCCAGTAAAATTCTTCGTTCGCGCTGAACCCCCCGCCCCCCCCCCCGCCCCCGCCAAAAAAAAAACAGATTAGAAGCGGAGGTCGAAGTAACCATTTTTTTCAGGCGCCCTCCTGCCATACAGAGTAGGGTGTGGGAGCGGGCTGTTTGGCGTTGAACGAATGGCAATACCAACTAGCCTGCTTCACGCAATGAGTTTACGGCTCATTGCACTGAATGTAGTGCGTGTCATTTCTTGAAAAACAATGTTGGCCACTCACCCTAACGATAGCTAAGCTCATCATTGAAGTGGTGGCATAGCAAATGGAAGCTGCGTCAGCAAATTATCCATCGCACTTACAAAAAGATAAGAACCATATCGTTCTGAAAGTCACCGGCATGCACGTGTCGTTCCGGTGTAATTTCTTCGCTGTTTGGTTTTGGTTTCTTTTTTTTTTCACGTTTTGTGCTTTAACTAATATTGTTTAGATCCATATGACAGAGATTTATTTGTCTGTCGCTTCAATAAACGATAGCAGAAATTCAGCTCTTGTTCTCGTCGATCCTGTGTACCTTTTGTGCTTCAGTTGTAAGATTTCACATAAACGTCTGAGCTGACTCACTTCGGAGCTAGCCAGTGCCTGCTGTTTGGAGTTGAACTGCAACTAGGATCCTATTGGCTAATTAATGGCCGTCATAATAGAGGAGTTTGTATCAGACACGCTCCTTACACAGGGTGCTGGCGCCGTGCTCCAGTGGTCTGCTGACATGACACAGTGAGCCACACTTGTGCACAATAACACAGCGGGAGAGATCTATCCCGTTTCACCACGCACACGGTCGTGACAAGTGGTTCACGCAACTTCTACAAAAGTTGCGTACATATGCCGTATCATCCCTTCCTGTTTAGTTTCTAACAAGCTCATAGGAACTAGAGGAAACCGAAAGCGCTTAAGCACGCGTTCTCAGCTCATCGTTGGAGGATTAGAGAAGCTTTCGTGGCAATGTGTTCGTGAAACAATACATTCCAATAAAAAAAACTTGCTCGATCATTACGTGGAAAAGTGGTTCATGACTCCTCTAAAGACGCTACGCAAGGAGCCGCTGCAGTCTAAGCGACTACCTCCCGAGCAAAGGAACTTCCACAATTCCATCTACTCTATCTAGCAGACGCAATAGATTCAAACGTCTAGGCATTCTATTTGTTTTCTTTTTTCATTCAGCACAGGCAATGACCGGCACAATGCTCTCCTTTGTCCCCCGGCCGTTTAAGGGCAAGAAAACTGAGGACGACCTCTTCGACAACGAAGACGCTCGCTCTCTTAGGCGTCGGTTCACTGGTCGATCACCCTCCTGTACGAGAGAGTACTGAACCCTCGCGAACTGTTCACGCTCCATTTCGCGGTGTGCATCTTTTCCAATGCGATGATCGCCCCGAGCGCGTCTTCCAATAAAAGTGGGACGCCCATAAATCATGTCCCTTCAATCTGACGGCGCCGCCTTTGTCGTATAACGCTCACACGTCCCGAGATACACACTTGGTGGGCTTTCTTTCTTTCTTTCTTTCGTTCTTTCTTTCTTTCTTCCTTTCTGTCTTTCTTGCTTTCTTCTTTTCTTGTTCTTTCTTTCTTTCTTTCTTCCTCTTTCTTTTCTTCTTCTTTCTTTCTTTCTTCTTTCTTTCTTTCTTTCTTCATATGCTGATCTTTTCTTATTCTTTCTTTCTTTCTTTCTCTTCATATTGCTGCATCTTCACGGCATCCTCACAAAAAGAGACTTCTTTGTAGGGCTACAATCGTCCATCTCTGTTTGCACAACACCAGTTTGTATATTTTCTTCATTTTTTGAATTTCCTCTGTAGTGGGCCAGCCGGGGCGAGATAGCCGACGCAGAGAGCTTTTAGTACGCTGATACGACGTGTAGCTCTTCGTCGTGAGTCATTTTTCGCGTTACTCAGCGAGGTTGATGGCGAGAAAAGTGAGAATTTTTTTTTTTTTTCTGATGGGCACGTGCCAGGGCGAAACAAACGCTGAGATGGCATGTGGCCATTACAGTTCAATGGAACTCCATCCGTGACGCATGTTCGGATATCTTTTGTCGCACGCTGCGCCAGTAAATGGAAAATAAAAAAAGTCGGTGTCCTGCTACAGCTGTGACAAAATGAATAACAAAC